CAAGTCTGGCATGGTGTGCTAGTTTTGTTTTCTCCCCATGTCTAACTGAACCAGGATGACCAGGGTATGAGAGGTTAGCTCAAATGCCCCAGATGCATTCTGCAAAGCCAGTGAGCAAGAAGGACATTGTCCTTGGCTCCCCTCACCCATTCTAAAGCAGAGCTCAGGGAAGCCACCCACTCCTAGCACAGCCTGTTCACCATGTTGCCCCCTCTTATTCAAGATTTTTCCAGTTACTATTATTTTTCATACCTGGAAAATTCTAGACAAAGAGTACAGCTCCACACAACAAGTATGTATTTGCTAACTATGATGCTGATACTGCACAATAAGCATGGATAATAGCTTATATCTAATATATCTATCCATTAGTGATGGTTGCATGAAGGTTCCTAATTATTCATATCTGAAACCAGGCAGATCTGAAATTTGGAGCTAGTCGTTACATAGACTTTTTGTCTCTAGTCCTAACTGGAAATGTCAAAGACTGTGCCTGGGACCTTTTGAATGCAAAACGCACCTTCTGCCACAGCTTTTAGTCCACACTCATTCAATGAACTTTATAAGGCAACAGAAATGTGAACTGATGTTTCCCTGGTGCATGCCAGTAATCCAGCCATGACAACAGTGTAGGTTTCGGCCTGACTGGGGGACTTCCTGGGATTCCACATGAGTGGGTCATTCATGAAAAAGATAAATGCCATATCTCCAGTTTATGATACATTTCATGCAATTGGCTATTCACACTAAATTTTGGGCAAGACTCAAAGCAGCCCAAATTATGTTGATCTGGATTTGAGGTATGAACTTCCATTCCTGCTATGCAAGCACATCAGTGATTTTGAACCCATTTTTGCCTAGTGCCTAGTCTATTCTTTTATTTATACCTACCAGTGCCTTTATCATCCTTGTTCCCTGTATGTATCATATGATAAATTCAGTGTCCATACACACTTGGAACATTGAACATCCTGACATGTTCAGATAGTCAGATGCTGAGATAAACAAGAGCACTATACACACTGTCAGATGGTAGATTTTTTAAAAAGATAAACACGTGCTTTTTATGCACTTTGTGACATATAAAGCTGGGCTGTTGGCCATCACCAGCTATTAAATCAGATCTGAGAAGTCTTTGTGGTAAAAGCTATTTCCCCTCTCCTTGTTCCAAAGGCATAACTGTGTTTAGCCCATGCAAACAGATTGTGTACCTGTCCAGCCTGATTCTTCAGACCATGTACTTTGAACAAGTATGATAGCAGTATAAGGCAATTGACACCTTGATGAAAATGCAAGATGGCAGAAGAAAGCAGGTGAGGTATATATATTTTTATATCACTGAAATGTGAGATCTTAACTGCCTGCTCTTAGAAACATTATGGCAATGCCATAATAGAAATAATATAAAATCCACAATGAAGGCAATCTTAGTAGGCATATGGGGGGGGGGAGGGGAAAAGAGAGAGAGGGGAGAGAGAGAGGGGAGAGGCATTCTAACTTAGACTCAAGATAATGAACACGGTTCCTGAGCCCTGTGAAGCTCCTTCACACCTCAATCATGTTCAAGCACCTTCTTAGAAACCCCCCAAAGACAGCCTCAGATGATAAATTAGCTGAGGCACTGCTGGAATAGCATGTCAAAGAAGACGTCCACTCCACAATGCAGAGCTCCTGCACAAGACTGTGCGTGTGTCTGCGCACAAGCCTAGTTGACTCATCTGTGTGATTTTCCCTGTACAAGGCACAGGGAGGGACCACTCCTGCATAGCTAATTGATTACGCAATTCCCCATGTTGTTTACTTGATCAATCTTATGTTACCATAGTTAGTAGTTTGTTTTGCAGAATATGCAACTGATTTTTCAATGCCCTCCTTCCACCTTCAGCATCTTTAATGCCTCAGTTACACTGGATTGTTCAATACAAATAGTAGGTATTGCATCCTCGCCGATGGGTGCGACCTCCAATCCACACTGGATGTGTGGATGCCTTCCACCCATCCTGCTCCACCACCCTCCAAAACTACTGAGATATTCGCATCTATTTCTTTCCCATGCCACTGATACCTTTATGGTTAAAGCAGCAACCTAAAGCAGGTCACAATTTATTCATTCATCATTTATTGAATCATCATTCAGTCCCCCAAATTAAAAAAGTCAGTCAGCCTTCAGTGCAGATCATGCTTAGTAATCAGACTTAAAATATCTATAAAATAGTTGTGTTTCATGCATATACCCTGTTGGTTTGAAAACTCAGGACAAAGAACAAGGATTTCTCCATAAATCACAATGCATGCACAGGCTGGAGGCTGCGGTAGAAAAACTGTAACCAGAGCTACCAGGTCAGTAGGATTCTCCACGTTCTTTGTGCTGTAAAATGCCTTGAATCAGCCACAGGTGGGATGTCCTACTGCACCCTTTGCAGGAAAGCAGATCTGGACCTAGTAATCCATGGTCTTTTAATCTCCAGGCTGGCTTGCTGCAATGTGTTTTATGTGGTGCTACCTTAAAGTCTGTTCAGAAGGTTTGACTTGTTCAAAATATAACTATCAAGCTGACAATTGGTGAAGGTAGGAATTCAGTATTGGGCTACAACTACAAATGTATTCGGGAAGACTTCAGAGTGCACCTGGCCTGGTGGTGTGGAGCAATGATCAGCCGCTGCTCTGCTGCTGGAAACGGCATGCAGGACTGCAGTGACCTAGCACACCTTGAAGGGCTGTAGCACCTTTGGTGTTCCTCCATTCCTCCCTGTTCTGACCACACCAGTGAGGATAGCACAGCTGTGTGGGTGAGGAACTGACAGATCCCAAGCAAGCCATTGTTAGAAGCAAAGCTTACATCGATTCTTTAATTTGTATTACAGAGCTATCTAACAGAAAGGGGAGGGAGCTGAATCCATGGAAAAGGAGCTGCCATTTCTGGTGGCTTTTCTACAGTAACGGCAGTTATTGTGTGTCTGACATTCCTTCCTGCTGGGAATTCTTAAGGCATGTTTTCTTAGAGCAGGGGAAAGACGTCATTTAATTGTGAAAAGGAAGCAGCGCCTTCTCCAATGCCACTTAGAGGCAGTGTAATGGAAAAGAAGGAGAGGGAGCTCTTCTCATGTAGCGTAGATCTCGTGGAGTTCAAATCAAACAGATATAGTAGATTAACAGTCAGGTACAACCTTATGTAGAAAGGCTCAATGAAGGTGCAGGTAGGACTTTGCCTCTGTTTCCCCACCACAGGGGCTCCAGGGCTGGCTTGTTTTGACCCTTGTTTGGGAGGGTGCCAGGAGCGGTAGGATCCAGAGAAACTCCTACTTCCTCCTACACATCTCTCCCCACCACCATCAAAGCATTTCCTTTCCATTTAAGCAACATTTCAGGGATATAGACAAAAGTGCAAAGTAAAAGAGGGGTTAAAGAAAAAGCACTTGAATAGAATGGAATGCATGAGAAATGTGAACATGTGTCTGAGGATATGCATAAGTGCAGCTTCATCTATGGGGCACGGGAACCTTCTGAGGGTGGACACCTAGTATGGCAACTTTCCTGGGCTTTGATCTCTTAAGCTTTACGTGGTCTTGGACTGCAATATCTGAAGGGTGGAATATCTGAGAGATCACCTCCTCCTTTTCCATACAAGGCATTAAAACTACTCAGATCTTCATCAGAGGCCTCCCACTCTCCTCCTATCAGAGCTGAGGTGGATGGCTAGCAGGGATGGCCTCCTTTGTGGTGGCACCTCACATGTGCAATCCCCCTGGCTATTCAACTGCTGCGTTGTGAGTGGCCTTAAACGTTTTTGTTTACTGGCTCATCTGAATTGATCAGGATTTCTTTAGCCTGCCCTATTAGCCACAAGGCTCCCTCGTGAGTCCCTTTATTTGGACTCACTACATTACGGTTGGTGCGTTTGCTTTCATGATGTATTCTTTCCCATTTATCCTGAAAGTCTTTACATAAAGGAAATATTTATACATTTTAAGTAAATAAAATACCATAGCTGTCTATTCCAAGCAAATACTATGTTTTCAGTTCTTTGCATGTTCTGCAAATCAGTCTTGCTTAAGTATGCAGTTCAATCTTTAACACAGTGCTCAGTTTGGCATTAAGAATCAACAAAGATCTAACAAAGGGATCATCACCTCTAATAATTATCTTATCGGTTCCACAGACCGTGCATGTGAATGTACTATAGCTTTTGAAACAAATTTTAAAAGGCCTTTAGGCTACCCTGTCTCCTTATCTTCCTGTAAGCATGACTTTATTGGAGTTCAGAGAACTAAAGAATAGTTGTTACAGTGGCAAAACCATTGATATTTAAGCCCTCTTTTATGTTATATAATTTACAACTCATCCAAAAGGCTTAAGCAACAAATACCTTAGGAATCTAGAGTTCCCCTTAAAAAACATAGAATCGTGCATTTGTTATACAGCTCTATTCTCATACACTTCTTGGTTCCCACATATTTTGGCAGGAATCAGCAGCTTTTCCCACTGTTTTCAGCATTTATACTCTACTTTGGAAAGAAAGGAGGAGTCTGGGGAGCAATCATATTTTTAGTAGTAGATCAAATCCTTTCAGGAGAACTGGAGGGCACACAACCTGTCGCACTTTCCAAGGTCACAAATGCTTAAAATGGAAACATTTGTGTGCTTGGCCACTCCACAAAGTTTGGTTATTAGGAACAGGGCAAGAATGACAAGGACCGAGAAGCAATTTAGCAATACAAGTTATATTATGTTCTGTATCTGAATATAGAAAATGGTATATCATTTTAATGTTTCATTCTTCACATGCCTCTCATAGCAGTTTATATCTGAAGCAGTCCCTGCTGGGTTTCACCTTGATTTGCTCCTGCTCCTTCAACAGGATATCCTTCGTTTGTCTCTATCAACATGATGATGAGCAAAGCTTTTGTTGCATTCTGTGATTGACCATGGGTGGGTCAGCAGCTGTTCCTAGCAGAGGAAAGGTAACTATAGCAACAAAAGTTATCTGTATCCTCATGCATTTCCTTGTGCCCACCCCAATCCATGTTCCTTCCCACCAAACCTCTGAAGCCATTCACTAGCTGGTAAAACATTTTTAAAAATCCTTCAGCCTCTTGGGTCAAGTTTCTCCTGTTGGATAAATGCCGTTCAGTTAAGAACAGGGACTATCAGATGTTAGGTTAGAGCCAGCAGATGCTAGGGATGAGGTCCTGGCTGTTTCACCTTTCTTCCAAATTGCTGCACTCTCTTCTGTGTTTGAGTCTGATGCACACCTATTTCTTAGGAGCTACAATTTCCCCATCTCCAGGTCCCCGGGTCAAACCTAGCTACAGTTTTGGTCGAACTTTTTTGGGACTTGATAAATGCAATGCCTGCATTGGAACATCTATTTGCAAGAAATTCTTTAAAGAAGAAATAAGGTCAGAAACTCCATACCATACCATATATGGGGTGGGGAGAAGAGGGTGGTGGGAGTCTTAGCTATTAACATATCTATTTGCTTTGTGGGAATAGATCTCAAACATGTAATTTCTTATCAGATCATCCTAAATAAATCTTTATTTGTTGGTAACAAGTATCACTTTATAGCAGTAATAGCAAATCCCTGGAATTTGACTCTAGGTCATCGGAGGAGTCGAGTGACCAACCTGCTCCAGAAGTGGCTTTTCCCCACAATTGTTATCAGGCGTGATTTGCTTATACAGGGCCATTAAGAAGTGGCTTGAGGCCTTCCACAAGCAAGGTCTAATATTAATGACTGTTGCAATGTTACCTGAAATGTGCGCAGAAAAGACAGGTGTGCTCTGAATAGATTGAATTTTGGGCAAGTTTGCTTATGATATCAGGAAGGGGAAAGGGAAAGGAAATAAACTATGCACAATTCATCATGTTTGAGTCCAACTGTTTTCAGTGGGAGTACCAAGGGATGCTTAACTCTCTCCCATCGAAATAAGTGGCACACATTTTTCTCCTTTAGTACAATTCTCCTTGAAGGCCCTCTGTTTTGTTCTTTTTAATTACATTTTTGTAATATTCTTGTTCATGATCACCAGCAATTGGAAGCCTAAACAGAGCTCTGAAATACAACCAGTATCAACAGCTTGCCCAATCCAAGTGTATTCTGAAATACATAGGTTTTAACCAGCTTTCTAAAAGTCAGGAGTGTTCTGGCTTGGTGCAGTGCCTTAGACAAGGTGTCCCAAACAGAGGGTGCTGCTGAAAAGAAGGATCTTGTAGTCAGCTGCTGAGTCACTACCTGATCATGGTGGGGCAGACAAAACTGGGCCTCATCTGACAATCTAAAGGTCCAGGGATGGGGAGGATGTGTGAAAGAGGCATTTCTTAAAATACCCAGGACCAAGATTGCAAAATGCTTTAAATTCCAAACTCAGCACTGGTGAGAACTCTATTTTGGGTGGGCATTTCTCAAGGAATTTCATGTATTTATTTTGTATTGTCATAACTGAGGAAAGTTTGAATAAGGCTCAAGCTTGGGTGGGTCTCCTGAAAGTGTCAGGACAACTGCTGAGCAGGTGTGTTCTTTTAGCAGCACAACGTATCTGCAAAAGCCATAATCACAATCATAATGATGTGTTCATTGCTGCAGAGATCTCTTAGATAAAAGGTATAATGGTTGGTGACAGAAAAAGATTTACACGAGGAATTAACATTTTCCTCTAGTATGATTTATAGACCTAGAGATGCTTTTAAAGAGTTGCCAGCATAACATGAAAAAATGCTATATTAAGAAATTGTAATTACAACTACTTATCATTATTATTATTTCTATTACACCAAAGGGAATCAAATGACATTTTTAGGTTCCTGCATTTACATAAAAGGCACTCTCCTTCATGTGGGAGCTGTTAGTGATATCAAGCCTTGGTAATTTTGCTATAAGAATAATATTTTGCTTTACATTTAAATAATTGAAAGGCCTGCCATGATAGGCATGTGTGGTCATGCCTGTAAGGAGGGAAGACCTATAGATTGCAAAGTGCCCTGTGGATACACCAGATTGCTCTGTATTCTGGGTGCTGTTGAAATACACACTTGGGCAAAAGTAAACTATTCATTAGGGGATGCTCCAGAGTGTGAAGTGGGGAGCAGGGATGAGGCCTTTCCTATCTCCGTGTAGTTCTAGATGCTCAGCATACATCTGGGGACAAACCAGTAGCTGTATATGTAAGACGGTTCTAAGATTCTGCAGAATAATGGCTTACTCATTAAGGAAGGCACACCAAACTGCAGAGAAGTGGATAAAAATACAAATACAGACTCATTGCTCGGGAAAACAGTTTCCCGATACCAAATATGGCAATTAGTCAGATCCTGGGCAATTAGTCAGATCCTGAGTTAACCCTACATCAGTTTCCCTGAGAAAAATCTTGCTTAGCGGCTCCTCCACACCATCCACCATCCAGTTTCTCCTTATGGCTAAGGAAGGCGAGCTGCCTTCCCGACATTTCATAGGCTACCCAGCTGGGGCCCCACTGGACACAGAGCCCAAGCAAGGCATGACTGGGGGAAAAGAAATCTCAGCCATGCTGTTACTGACACTGCCCAGAGGTTTCGAGGCCCTGTCGACGAGCCTAGGCTGGACTTAGCAGGGTGTTGTCACTGAGTAACTCAGATGTGGCACACAAGCTTTCCTGACACACAGCTCGCCTCCTGCTGGTCTTCTGCCATGTGCGCAGTATCTGGATGTATTGCCAGCTGTGCAGGGCTGCAGGTGGCCCAACAGCCTGGGCTGTGCACTGCATGAACCGAAGGCACAGCTCCACGAAGCTCCCCAGAATCCTGGGGAATCTGGCAGAGTGCTGCTGGCAAATGTGCTTGCCTTCTTTGGCAGATCAGCAAATACGGAATGGTTACTCTGGAGGTGGGAAGTCTGGAAAAAAGACTGGGGCAGCCCATTATGCTAGGCACCGTCAGAAAAGAGAGGTCCTTCATTGAACTGAATCTACCACTGCCAGCACTGCCTTGCTGCAAAGTTCAAAATGACCCTGGATCTTAGGCTGGCATTTCAGGTGGCATCACATATGCCTGACTACTTTGCCCTTATGTGCTCCATACAGCAAGACACAGAGCACGTTCGCTTGCTAGTGCAGATGACCTTTATCAGTTCACAATAAAATACAAGCGAATAGGATGAACACAAGACCAAAATACCTCTGTATTCAAACATTTAAAATGTTGCAACGCTACAAACAGAATAGTGGTAGAATCCTCCACACATCATGGAAAGCAAGTGTGAATGACTGAGTTTTCAAAAGGCATTTAAAACTGACTCATGTTTCTGCCTCTTGAAGTTCAAATTGGAGAGAACTCCAAAAAATGAGTGCTGCTCTCTGTAATGAACCCTTACATGCCACCAGCTCGTGACATTCAGTTGAGTGAGGAATGAAGATTAAGTCTTCTTCAGATCTCGGGAATTGACTGGGGATGTATGGGGGAAGATGACCAGCCAGGTAACCATGTCCTGAGTAGTTTATGGCTTTGTATTTCAACAAGACTTTGACATAAGCAACCCGCTTGGATATGTACATTTCCATTAGCTTCACACAGTAAATAGACAATGAGCAACGTGGCATCTTCACCAGTGTGAGATATTCCCTCATTCCTTAGTGTATGCTTTAGTACCCAACCTACTTGCCTCCAAAAGTTTTGGACTTCAGCTCCTATTACCCTGAGGCAGCATGGTCAATGGTTAGGAATTTTGGGAGGTGTAGTCCAAAACATCTTAAAGACATCCATTTGCAGAAGGCTGACTTAGTGCTTAAGTAGTAATGCAGAATGCTTTAGCTAATGGCATAAACTTTGTGGTCTGCGTGCATAATTCCCCTTCATGCATAGGAAAGTTAGTCTCACCAGGTGTACACAAGAGTTCTTCCAATAGTGCTCTGAGGAGACCAAGGCTACATGAATATTCTGTGACAGATGCAGTTTTACTGGGCATGCTATGGATTATGCTTATGAGTTTTCAGGTGTGACTTCCAACATGGTGTCCATTCACCTCCACACTCTTTTGCGTGATATACACATGGGGAATCTGTGGACTCCAGATGTTGTTGGACTCCCATGTTTCATCCGCTCCAGCCAGCATTGCCCCTATCATAAGCCACTAATGTCAGGAGAGGCACAGGTTCCCCAATCCAATAGACTCCAACAACTACCATTACTGCCCTTCTGCCATTTACAAAGGCTAAACAGGTCAGACCTTTTGCAAAAGAATAAAGGGTGATTCCAAACGAAGTCTTTATTGTACCATCACCCTACCTCATGCACCAAATGATCATGGGGTCCATGCAATGCAGAATAGAATAGAATAGAATAGAAGTAGATTCGGAAGGGGTCTATAAGGCCATCAAGTCCAATCCCCTGCTGTACTTCCACATTTGGTCAAATATCTGGCTTCTGGCCTATGCCTTTCCAGCTTAGCAAAGGTGATATGACATACTAGTCCTGTGTATATCCATGCAGGCAAGGACTACTTGGTAGCACCATGGTCTATCCAACTTGAAGTACCCCAAGAATTAAAATCATCAACAGAAACCAGTGCAGGAGAATTCAGTCTTCCAAAACTTTCTGAAGCAAACCTTAGCATTGCCATATTCCAACAGAATAAATCATAGCTACTAAGATGGAATCTTTTGGCAAATTTGACATCGTGGAAGTTGGTGTCATGACAGCCTGGAATTGACTGGCTCTCTACAGAAAATAATTATTCCTCTTTAGGTTTCATTTACCCTGTCAATCTTGCTCTGCCTATTTTTCACCAGTGGCTGCTACTGCTAGTCAAGACTGAGTCACACCAATGTTGATTGGCTTTTCTATTACACCTACAGATTGGATCTCATGTCATATCTACAGTTAAATTGTATGTTCCTTGGTTGATAGCTTCATTTTGTGAAGACTAAAAATTGAAAAATCCCCTCTACGTTCAGAGTTAAGGATTCATGGGGAAATTGCCCTTTGCAGATTCTATACCAACTGACCTGATCCACACCTTTCAGATGAATGTGCAAATGAGAACTTTGCAATCTACTACATTTCACACCTCCCTGAAAGTTGCAATGTAGTTCGTGGCAATTTAAATAAATCAAAAGACACATTTCAATACATATTTTGAGAGGACTTAAAAATGCAGATGACTGCCAAAAAAAGAAGAAGAAAAAACCCAACCATATTGGAACAGAAACATAGCTGAAAGCATGCCAAAGCAACACCAACTAGAAACTGATTTGTCCATTCTTATTGGAGTATATGCACTACCAATGTTTGTATCCCAAAGAGCTTTGGCTGTTGAGCAGTACCAAAATGTAATAAACAAACACAATTATTCATGAATGTGCTTGGCCCAAAAGGTCTGCTAATCCTTAAGGTGCTGCAACTCTGAGGGCCGAGTGTTTTTGCTGCTCCAGTCTAACATTGCCATCCCACTGGAACAGATGCTACCAGGCTGATGCTAGGCTACAATTGCCTCTATTCCCAGCCACCATGTCTGGAGGGCACCAGTTTAAGGAAGGCAACCCTAGAATATTATCCCCATAGTTCGTTCCTTGTCATGGTCCTACTCTGTTCAGTTCTGGTGAACTCTTTGCTACAGCTTCTCCTGATCAAGGCTGGCACAGGCATAGCTGCCGTGTGCTTTGCTGCAACAGGGAAGCGAGAAAATGCGAGACATCCCTCTCCCCTGCAAAATCAGTTGTGGAAACCATGTCTGTAGACCTTCAGTGTGGGATCCAGCCACTGGTAATCATAAGCAAGTCAAATGAAACCTATCAGGCCTCATGAGAGGTGGGAAGTGGCACATGTCTACTCACTTACTCAACTATGTGGTCATGTAGCTTCATGCAGCCCCACCCCCTTTATCTTTGTCTGAATTAACTCCTTAGGAAAATAGGATCCCTCCCTCACCCTGTTGAGTAATGTAATTAATTGTAATGTGTGAAATTTTGTAAAGCTGCAGATGAAAGAACACGATGTAAGAACGAACGGTTATTTGGGTACCACCCTTGAAGAGTCCTTGCAAAGCTTGCCAGGTCACTGGCAAAGCGGTTAAAATGGCACACAGTCTATGAGTAAATACAGATAAAGTCAAGTTCCCACAGCCTTTCCACTTTGCCCTCAGGGATTCTGTATGAAGGCATCCATTGGAGTTAATTTGTTTTGCTGTTTGCACTGAGCATTGAACATTAGAATACAGCAATCTGAATAGACTGCAGCAAAGAGTTGCTATTCAGAATCACTTACATGCAAATTGTTATATAAGCTTAATTGAATTTATTCTCATAGGAACCCTGTTACACCTTGGAGTTCTCCTTTTATAGATGTGGAACTGAGGTCAATAAGGGTTCACTGCATGGAGGCAGTTCACAGAGTTCATGGCTGAGCAGGGGCTTTCAAAACAGTATTTTCAAGGCCACATCCTTTAATGGACCACCCTGACTCTCACTGAAGCGCTACTCAAAGTTCCAGTGAAAGGATCTCCAAAGGCACTTTCACATATATACTAATGAAACAAGTGATCTGCTAGACCTCATAAGTGCAAATATCAACTCTACCTTGACCTTAATGCTCATTTGCATTACAAATATCTCTTTCCCTCCATGTTTCTACTTCTGGTGCAACAGTCATGCATTAAAAGAAATAGAAAGAGAGTGATTCAAAGATAGAACAAAACCCCGAACCCTTGATTTCCTAGGTCTTAAGATTAAAAATACACATTTTTGGATTTGTGGAAGTGCTATCACAGATGACTGCCATTCTATTAGCCCTACCCCTGTGTCTGAACAGATGCTTTATCCACACATGTTCAGCAGACAAAACTGTCCCTATCAGCTTAACTCCACCAAATAGGGCATCACTTTTTACATTTCTTCCTGTCAGGCTGCTGTCAAAGGCATCAGAGTGGAAGAAGGAAAGGAAAGGAAAGGAAAAATTGGCCATCTAATTAATGTTCATTTAACAGTTGCTTATTGTCAACTGAGTGCTAATAGGAATTACTGAGAATAAATCAACACAAACCATTTGGCAGGAACTGTTATCAATCAAAACTGGAACTGCAAGACAGCAGGAGACTTGTTGCAAGCAGCTGTGAACTATGGTCCTAATGAAAACCAAGTTATAAATGTTTGAAATGAATAACAGGGAATTTTTAAAATCAAAGCTTAGTTTCAGAGGTTTTGGGATCACTTATTAATAGTTGAGTTTAACCAACATGTGAAAATAATTTAAGGGTCATATAAAACCTGAAACATTTAATAGCATGTTGTATTTGTTTCTGTGGTATGTTGATCATACAATTCAGGCACAAGGCCGTCAGTCAGGAAAAGATTGGCTGGCATAAGATGCAATCCTGTAGCTGTTTAGACAGAAGAAAGGCCTAAAGGCCCTGTCCTAAGGTTACATAGTCTCATCTTCAGCAGAACTGGGTTGCAACCGATTTTTTTCCTTAACCTTTTTCTGGCTATGTTTAGCCCATGTCTGTTGTAGACAAGACAAGGCATAAAAATGAAGTGTTAAAGAAACTATTAAAAGGTTTATCTGCCCCATCACCACTAAAGAGATGCACTCTCTTCTTAAGTTACTCCTTAAGAGAATGCATACAACTTAGTCTGGTGTCTCAGCTTAGACCATTCCACCTTGGGTGATTCCACTGCTACCCTAGTGACCCTGCTACCCTAGGGTGACCCTAGTGAAAAAGCCTGGCCTCCTAGCAGCTTTGCTCTCAGCTTCTTTGCCACTCACAAACCCCTATTAAGATGCACATCCAGGAGTGGAGCAGACCCCATATGCTGCTGCAGAAGGTGGTTAACAGAACCACAGGAGAAGGCTTCTTCCTACAGCGACCAAGGAAAATAAATCTTCATAAACTGACAAAACAAATATAATGTTTATACAACCCAGTATGCCCTGGTGAACTCCATCTGATCAAGGCAAACATTCAGTAGTCACAAACATACATATCAATTGAGTGCAGGCAAGTCTGGAATGGTATAGACTTCTTGCAATCAGGAGAAGTGTCACATAGAAACATAGAAACAGAGCGAGTCAGAAGGGGTCTCCCGGGTCATCTAGTCTGACCTCCGGCACCAGCCGGCTCCACTCACGACATGCCCACATGGACATCCTGTATTATCCCAGGGTCCTGGTACTGCCAACACACCTCCTCCTAGATTCTAGGATAATTGGGAAGTAGTAAAAGATGCCATACAATTGTCTGAATACACCAAGGAAAGACTGGTGTAGATTATCAATCAACAAGCAATTGAAAAACTCACACACATCCCTTCTGCTGTAGAGACATCAAGAAACATCACCCAGGCAACTATGGGGACGAATGAGACACTTGCAAGCTCCAGTTTGAAAAAGAAAGTCAAAAGGCAAAGGAGCAAGCTAAGGATTTTATTAGTGTCTACCTACATTCTAGGAGCAGGAGAAAGGAGTAGAAGAAATAGCTGCCCCAGAACTTTGGTAGAAGGTTGTGTCAACATCCTTATCTCAAGGAAGATTCATGGTGACTAGTAGCTGAGGCCCCTTGGCCAGCAGGCTTCACACTGTAGTTAAGTTTAACACCTGCTTTTATGGCTATACTTACAGGCCAGTGTTGAACAATGTGGACAGTTCACACAAAGTCATCACAGTCATTGATCTCAATATTCAGCCCCTTTTCAGTAGCATTCTTCTCTTAGAGTTCTCATTTCTCCGTCAATAGGCAGAATGACACAGGAGGGAAATGCGGAAAAATCAGGGGAGCATCAGGGAGGCGTTTGTGCACCATGTGCCCTGCCTGATGCTCCCTCAAGCTGCCATGCTGCTCTCAGGTGGGGTCGAGGATGCTGCGGAATCCAGTAAATGAATTGGGGTACATGCAACTTCCAGTACGTGAAAATGGGGTGGGAATGGGAACTGTCTTATCCCTTGCTTTAGCTAGCAAGATACCATAAGTTGGCTCTGCTTCCGCCCAATCTTCTTCATAATTATGAGATTCTTATTAGATTATATGATTTCATCAGAAGGATTTTTATCAGATGTTTAGGTTTTGTAATATTTTTCCCCGTGTGTTTTGGAAGTGCCACTTCTCAGACAGCTCCTACATACTTCCCTTCCTGGGAAATACCACATGGAGATACTTTTCCAGCAACAGTGAGTACAGCCTGCTTGCCAAAGTCTTCACACTGCAAAAAGTGGGTAACATTTAGCCTTCTTACAGATCTGTTTTGGAATCCCACCTGAAGCTGTAAGAATTTGGCAGGAGCTACAGCATGCCAGTGCTTAGCTGGATTATGGTGGATTAACCATGTTGTATGTCTTTATCTGATGACAGGTTTGACAGCTGGCTTTCTTCTCATTTAAAACTCCCACCCAACTACCTTTCCTGGTACCCTGGGAATTACTCAGATGACAGCAAAAGTTGGCGGCCAGTCGAGATCTCTAGATTAACTACCAAATACCAGCATGACCAATCTGACAAGAGAATTTGTGTTTCCCTCACCCATGCTAAAAGCTGCAGCATTGAGCATGCCTTATGGAAGACAGAGAGATTCCAGAAATGGCTAAAGACAAAACGCCTCACCCCTCTTCTGGTCCAGGTTAGTATATAGGCTCCTGAAATATGTAATTTATGCCCAGAGTGTTCGTATTTAAAATAGACTTATGAGAGGCCTTTCTGCACAAGTTTGTTCCTCCATTATGCTTACTCTCAGTTTCATCACAGAATTAAGATCAAAGGGTTACATAAGTCGTGTAACCTTTCCTGTTTTTCTCAATATAACCTGTAGGTGTCACTGTGGTACAGCAGAGTAGCACAGATATTTAGCCAGAAAATGCATTTCCTTTTGTTTTCAGGGACAATACTGGATTTACCCTACTCTAAATATTCAGCAAAAATGCTGTTTCAAGACAGAATTGAAACTGGAGACACTGGGGAAACCTGTAAACAACATTGTCTAAGGAATCTGTAAACAACCATGAATTAGTGCACAATGAAAACCCCATGCAGCAAAGTTCTATTTATTGGGAAACAAACATTTTATCACTATGGGGTTTTCATGCCCCCTGCACACAAGAGAGAGAGAGAAGAACATACTACACCAATGAAACGACAAAATATTATATTAGTAAATGCAAATTTTTTGCAAACCAATTTATATGTAGATATGTAAATTAAGAAATAATGGATATAATTTAAATAGAAAACCAGTGCATTTCACCTTTGTTTGGAGGACTGTGCCCAGGTGACCTGTGTACCTTGCCCAGTCAGGTGCTGTTGTTGGGCAGTTTCAAGGCTCAGCTCTTCTAATGGTTTTCTATCTTTATATCAAACATGAACTGAACAGTCTTTGAAAGAGGAGATACCTTCAAAATAGAGAACAGTTCTATGGCGACCCTTCAGTTATGGGATTTTCTTCTGCAAAAGAGGTCATGTGGCCATGGTAGAAGTGGTACACTAGCTAGGGCTGGTCCTCCATCAACCAGAGAGTGAGGGTGAGGTAGTGAGGGTGCCAGAAGCAAACTCCATTTCATTCCTGTAGTTATGATAGTGCTATGGTTTCAGTGAGTGCTAAATCGAACATGCTCAGAGCATTTCTTTTACACCCTGGAATGGGAAGCAGTTCTATTCTTATTACTGCTGTTCCAACATAGTATGAATCTAGAAGCAATTTTAAAGCATAGAGTACTGGTTACAGTCCTGGCAAAAAGATGGGGAAGAAATGGAGGTAGTGACCGATTTTATTTTCCTGGGCTCCAAGATCACCGCAGACGGGGACTGCAGCCAAGAAATTAAAAGACACTTGCTCCTGGGGAGGAAAGCTGTGGCAAATCTAGATAGCATACTAAAAAGCAGAGACATCACCCTACCAACAAAAGTGTGTATAGTCAAGGCTATGGTTTTCCCAGTTCAATGTATGGCTGTGAAAGTTTGACCATAAGAAAGGCTGAGCGCCGAAGAATTGAGGCCTTTGAATTGTGGTGCTGGAGGAGACTCCTCGAGTCCCTTGGACCACAAGGTGATCAAACTGGTCAGTCCTATAGGAGATCAACCCTGACTGCTCTTCAGAAGGCCAGATACTGAAGATGAAACTCAAATACGTTGGCCACCTAATGAGAAGGAAGAAGAAGGGGATGGCAGAGAATGAGGTGGCTAGATGGAGTCACTGAAGCAGTTGGTGTGAGCTTGGGTGTACTCTGGGGGATAGTGGAAGACAGGAAGGCCTGGAGGAATGTTGTCCATGGGGTCGCGATGGGTCGGACACAACTTCACAACTAACAACAACAACAAAAACACTCCATATTGTGCATATAACTACTTTTATGGAACAATCTTGTGCATGTTTAAACGACAACAACAACAGACCTATAGCTCCCAGCATTCCTCAGCCAGGATTCCCCAGGACTTTTGCTTTTTCTTTCACCTTTAATAAGTCAGTTGACTTATTTGTCAGGCCACCCCTCTGAATCTGATTAGATATCAAACATCTCCTCATCATGTGTCAAGGCAAAGCAGGCACCCGCTTTACCAAGTGTTACAGCTACACTGTGCAAAGCTGGACCAAGAAATGTTGCTGCTTGAACTGGAACAGCAAACCTTTCACCTATCCACAAGCCAAGGTGCAGAGAATCCAACGCTGCTCAAGTTATTTGGATGCCTGAGACAAGCCCACAAAACCCTCTTTCTAGCAGTAAAAATACAGAGTAATACAGTAAATAACTAACCATCTGCTGCCCTTTAATGACACCCAAAGTCAGCAGCTGGGGTAGCAGTCTCACTTTGACTAATAGTAGGGCCTGCCCTGTGGTAATTCAACAGCTAGTAAATGGTTATCTGCTCACTGCAGTTTGGACTGCATTGCAAACACTTAGAGAACCACTTAAAGACGTGCTTTAAATTGTGGTAAACAAAATATAACATAAGCCTATCAAATAAGAAGCAAATAGTTGTTCCAGCCTATATTCTGAATAATTGCTGTCTTTGAAGTCAATGCATCTGTTTGAAGTTTACAGGCTAAGTTACATAATAAGCTACTGCGATGGGAGATTGGCTGTGACTTTGAGTCAGGCATGTGGAACAAGCTGACTATGGGCTTCTTCCAGACCTGTAAGAACACTCCTGTCACATAGCAAGTTTCTGTGGAAGCCGCAATGGACTGCATAATCCCCTAGACCCACCCCTAGCTGTTGGTGCCAGCAACTTCCCCAGTGGGCAACACATCACCTGCTGCTTCAGCAGCACCAGCATTACTCTGTGGGTGTGTCGCGCCAAAGCAGGGCAGTGAAGGACCTCCAGGGCACAGCGCACACGAGAAAGAGGGCCATGCCACAATTCCATGGTGTCAGAGACTCTCCAGTGGCCTAGCGCCCAGAGGCAGCAGACCAGGGCTCTCGGGTTTCTTTAATCTCTTGCCCATCTATAGTGATGCCTGTCATGCAGAAGGAAACCTGTTGGCCCTTTTATTGAATTCCTCCAGAGTCACATAGGTGGGGTGAAGAGAGATCTTGCGTTCCATGCACAGTTCCTGCTGCTCAGGATAGCTGATGGGCAGCTGCTGTCTCCAAGGAGCAGGAGCAAAAGACTAAGGCGATGAGAACTATGTGGGGCACAGATACAGCAACAAAGCCGCGGGGGGGGGGGGGGGGGGGCAATGCTACAAACAGGTTGGGAAGGAAAATGTAAGCAGCAGTACAGAGTAATGGCGCATAGGCCACAGCTGAATAAGTACCAAATGAAGACATTCTTCTTCCCAAATCTAGAATGCTGCTTTGTTTTCCCTGGAGAAAGCCAGCTTTCACTGGGTTGAAAGATGCCAGGTATTATTTGCACTGGAGACAAAGTGCAGCAAGAAACATGGCAAAGTATTAGAGCCGAGGACAAAAGGGGTAGTTTTGGGATTTGAGAGCTAAAACAGCAGAGTTGTACATCCAACTGCATTCCTATGAATAACATCACTGTTGCTACAGCTCATTTTTCCCCTGAAAAAAAGAAAAAAATGCAATGCAATACATGATGCATTAACTGTATAGATACGTACTCAGAGGTAAGTTCCACTGAGTTTAGTGTGTCCAGTTTCCAGGTAACTGAATATACAATTGCAGACTTAGTGACCCAAATCAATGAACCGATGTGTGAACAAAATCAGGTATAAAACGTATGTTATAGATATAGGAACTAAGGAGCAAAGTAACATCCCATAGAATTTAAAGATCCTCCCTTCCCAATTGGTTTTTGAATTGAGGTTCAGAATAGTCAAGAACATCTATCTATGTGATCTTTGCCTGTTTTGAATCATATATCTGAAACCTACCACTATCATTCTATAGAAATTCAGTTTAAATGTGCTTTTATTTAATCCAATCCAATGCCAAGAGGCTGTTGTCAGTAGGCCCCTGCTGGGGTTTGGGTTCTTTGCAGGTGCCCAGTCACACCCGCCCTTCAGGCTGTGTGTGACTGGGCGACAGTTTGCACTGGAGCTGTGGCTTGAGCTGGCACACACGTCTTCCCAGTTCCACCTAGGATGGGTTTGACAGTGAAACGCGGTGTCTTCTTTTGCCTTCTTTTTGGGTGATGCATTTCTTTTGGTGATGTGTAAATGGCCACCCTACCAAACATCCCTGATGTTTATATCTAAAACCTGGTATACTCTGCCTGTCAATACAGATATTCCATTTAGATGCCATACCAACTATCCATTCAATGACATGTCTGCTGCTCCAGTGAGCTGGGGCCACGGGCAACCCCACTGGAGGGTGCAGGTTCTGCTGCGGCAGAGCCTACTGGTACTGGCTACAACCCAGAGTAAAACAAACCCAGTCTTTCCAGTTCCCAGTGGCTCTTGGTCCCTTGGAGATGACCGGTGATGGATCCACTGGGACCTTTTGTGCTGCCTCGCTTTGCAGCCCACCTATGACCTTAGGGAAGCAGGCTGTACTCAGCAAGTTGCATGCGCCCTGGGTGCTGCCATAGTTAGATGGGGCACATCTCCAGTCAGCCTTCCCCCTTTCACCCCCAAGGCACACGATCTGGGTTTTGGTGAAACAACATAAAAGGTGTATTAAGGATGTGAAAAAGTGCAGATAGGAAAAGGTCGATCCTGGGCACAAAACAATACACAGTTTAAAGAGGTAAATCAGTTTCAGTGTACAATCAATGCGCAGTTCAAAGCAGGAGATCAATGGCAAAAATAAAAGAAAGAAGCTATCTGCCTAGCTTGATCCTTGAAGACCCATTATATCTGCAAGTACATTTTCCTAAGTGTATCAGGTCTCCCCACCTTTGACTGGGAAGAAACCATACCTGCATGCCTGTACTGGAAAAACCTTGGGCAATCTCTCCATGTGCCTTCCTTATGCCCCCTTACATCCTGGGAGACCTTTTCCTGGCACTTGTGCCTGCAGGAAAAGCACCCCAATTGCCTTTTCCACTGGAGTGTATCTCCTCTGGTTCCCCTCCACTGGCTTGGCTAGAGATTTCAGAGGAATTCCTTGTGTTGTCTCTGCTGACTATTCAGTAATAGCTCATTTCCAGCTCTGAGATGGATTTTAGGAGATTCCTATTGTTCAGTCACCTGCATAGTTCACTGTTGAATAGATTGGC